GATGAGCTTTCCCTCCCTCGCGTTTATATGTGTTTACAGGCCTCCTCATTGCCAAGAGGCGGCTGTTCGTGCTTCTGCGTGTCTGTACAGGAATAAAACGAATATTCTTAATCGATTTTAGCGGAAGGATTGTTTTTTGATATAGCCGTTCCTTTCGTTAATGTTTCTTGACATTAGAATAGTGCTGCGTTTTAGGAACCGTCCAGAGCCTGAGCTGTAACTAGGACGCTAAAAGTCGGTGTGGTTTTTTCTCAGAAAATCTCACTATAAATTCCTGAGCTATATTTACACCTCAAAGAGGCCCTGGAAGGGGGTGGGGTGGGGAAGGAGACTATGACGACACACAAACTCGCAGCTTAATTTTATAGTTGCAAACAAAAGCATAGTCCTGAAAGACTATTATGGGTGTTTTCACACTGAAATCTATACCCTACCCGTGTTCAGCCCAAGTTACTTTACTGCTACGTGCAAAATAAAGGTAGCCAGCTCCTTTCAACACTGCCCTGTACCTGCCTGCTTCTATAAACAGGCTCAGATCCTGCTGCTTTAAACAGCTCATGCTGCTGGTGCTGGAAGACTGTCCTGCTATTGGAATCAACATAGTGATGATAATAATGAACAAAACCAAGGGGAGTTATCTAAAAAGGAGGGAGGGGGGTGCAATCTGTTAAGGTTGTTTAAAACTTTTTGTCTGATCTTAAAGTTTTGGTAGATTAATTAACTTTTGAAGTAAATGAAGCCTTTTTTAAAAGCCCCCAGCAGCATCCACATTTACCTGAAGGACTCAGGGAGTTCCAAAGATCATAGGTGTCACTTCTGAATTTTTTTAGTATTACAGTTCTAAATATTTTTGTAAAGCCATATATGAAGTTCTGACAAAAAGGAGTGAAGAAATGTGACAAGTCAGAAGGTTGGGGCTGCAAATGTAAAACGTGTGGCCAAAAAGACAAATCAATTGGGTTGTTCCTGGAAGTGGTGTCGTTTTTATCAGCGCTTTCAGTACGAAATGCTGCCCAGGTGTCGGTGAAAGGGCTTTCACAGCTGCCATGGAACAGCTGTTCACCTTGTTCATTTTCTTTCTGATGTCACAGACACAGATCTTCTGTAAATTCCCTTTTTCACCCACGCCTCACCTTGGTGTTTTTTTTGTGTGTGTGCTGGCTGTTCCCTCCCCAAACGCAGAATTTGAGACGGCAGAAACGCTTCTGAACTCGGAGGTGCACATGCTGCTGGAGCACCGCAAGCAGCAGAACGAGAGCGCAGAGGACGAGCAGGAGCTCTCAGAGGTCTTCATGAAAACCCTGAACTACACGGCGCGCTTCAGCCGCTTCAAGAACCGCGAAACCATCGCCAGCGTCCGCAGGTGGGGGGGGGATCTGGGGTGGGAGGGTGATGCTGCTGTGTGAAGAGGCAGCACAGCGGTGTTTCATGGAATCCTAGTGTTTCCTGATTTGGGTTGTGATTCTGAGCCTTTGTCTTTTGGAAGGGGTGAGAAATGTGGTCGTCGTTCCTCGTGGAGGGTTGTGGTTGGGCTAGGTCAGGCCGTCTGGGCTGCTTTGTTTTCAGTGTTTAAATGACAGCTGGATGCATGAAATGAGAGGGTTTTCTACTTGTAGAGTAATCCTGGGGGAGTGGAGTTCACAGATGTGACTTCTTTCCTCTTTGCAATTATACAAGTCTTTCCTCCTGATAAAACGTTGGCTTCAGTGCCGAAAGCAGCGTGAAGAAAAGATACCTGTGTGGTTTAGTTTAGGCCTGTTTATGTTTCTGTCTTTGTAATTTCACTAAGTTGTTGTCTCTCCCTACAGTTTGCTCCTTCAGAAAAAGCTCCATAAATTTGAATTGGCCTGTTTGGCTAACTTGTGTCCTGAGACAGCTGAGGAAGCAAAAGCCTTGATTCCTAGGTGAGCATTTATGTATCATAAAGAGTCTGATTTGTACTTTACTGTGATCTAAAGCCAGCTATGGGCAGATGCCCTCTCTCCAATCCACCTCTGTTGATGGAAAAACTTTTGGTCTTGGTCTTTGTTCACCTACCCATTGATCTGACAGCGAGGCACTATTTTTAAGTGTCCCTGTTGACCACATTTATTTGTTTTAGTGTAAACAGCTTAAATTTGGATTCTCAGCCCACCCAGCTGTGTTTGTGTGTGTTGGGAGATGAAACATTCCTCTGAGTTACAGTCTCTTCCTTAAATGCTAAGATTTCATGGCAAGACTGGACTGTCTTATGAGCCTGTGGTTACAGGAACTTCATTTAGAGGTGTGTTTAAACCTGCACCTGCCTTGCCTTTTTGGTAAAACGTTTTCAAACTCTTCAGCAGAATGTTCTGGGAAGGATTTCTCAGGAGTTTTCTCATTTAAATGAGAAATTTCTCTTTTAAGAAAAGGCATTGCACAGGAGTTAGAGTGGTGCTTGTATAGTAATGTTATAGATGGTGCCTGGTGGTACCATACAGGTGGGTGATGATGGTGTGGAGACAAACAGGAGAGAATTACAGCTGTATGAAGTGAATCCTGGTGGGGATTATCTCTGAAACCTTTAATGGACCCTCATTGTTCTTATCTTGCAGCCTGGAGGGACGATTTGAAGATGAGGAATTACAGCAGATCCTTGATGACATTCAGACTAAACGCAGCTTCCAGTATTAAGCTTAACCTTCAACCCCTTTATCTGCTCAGAAAAACTTGGGACCTTTGACTGCTTCTCAGCCCTCTGGACCAATCCAGCTCTAGGCTGAGCGGGAGGATTGTGGGTGCAGGGTCCTGTGGTGCCGTGTCACCTGGGGGTGCATTCAGGCTGGAGATCAGTGTAGTCCTTTTGGTTTGTTCCATGCATATGTTGATAAGGACTCCTGTGTTGTGAGAGCCAAAGAACCTGAAAAGCCTTTTCCTAGAGGCTGAAGTGTTTGTTTCTTCCAGATCCCTCTCCCCAATCTGGAAATTTTCCATGGTTCTGTTTTTTAGCACAAATGTAGATGTTAACTTCTTTTTTGGGTGAACTTCTGAAAGAGATGGAGAAACTTGTTCTTGGCTCTTGGAAGGTTTAGTGATGGGTGGCATCAATTGCTGTGGTGTTTTTTTTGTTTGTTTTTTTAATTGATTTGGACAGTGGCTTTTACAGCTTCAGTAATTTTCTGTTCTTATGTAGTGTAAATTAAAATATATTTCCAATTAAGGCTGTGTGTTTTGTAAACTTTAGGTGCATATTAGGATTTTATTAATGACGACCTTTTAGATAAACAGATCCTGTGATTATTAGCCTGTGTTGGAGATCTGGGGACTCCAGGTGTGTAATAACACAAGTACAGTCTTGCAGAGGTGAGACAGAGGTGCTATGAACTATGATAATAGGGAGAGAACATTTGGGCAGCCTCTCCCTCTCTCCGATTTTATTAATGACGACCTTTTAGATAAACAGATCCTGTGATTATTAGCCTGTGTTGGAGATCTGAGGACTCCAGGTGTGTAATTACACAAGTAGTCTTGGAGAGGTGAGACAGAGGTGCTATGAACTGTGATAATAGGGAGAGAACATGTGGGCAGCCTCTCTCCTCTTCTGTTGTCTTCCAAGTGATTGTAGAAAACCCACCCATATATGGCTCCAGAAAATAAAAAAGATGAGGAAACCAAATAATTTCAGTCCTTCTGGGGAGAGATGGACTCCCTAAGTAGCTCACCACAATTCTGAGAAGGAATCAAGCAGTAACACTACGACCCTGTGGAGGGACAGCTCTTGGGGCCTGTGGGAGCAGCACACCCAGTACTAGCTCAGCTCAGAAGTGAGGAGTTGGCAGCAATCACAGGTTGTTAGCTCTTAAGTTGAAAGAAGCATTCTTTTAGTTCAGATAAACCTCTTAGCTAGCCCTCTCACCCCTGAAATACTAATAATTGTACCACCCCACCTGGAAGAGGGAAAATTTTTCATGAAAAAACAGTTGGGACCAAGAGGCAGCGCCGCCAAGGCGCCACCTGCAGAAGGGAGACAAACGCAGTGTTATTTCGGCTCTTCCTGGAACCCGAA